CATACACATACACAAATACATATCATACATGAACACACACACACACACATATATATATACATACATCACATACACGTGTATGCATGCGTGTGTATGTGAGTGTGTGTAAAAATATATATAAAACAATGCAAAATTTTGCAGTTATGTATAGATTTTTGTTAAAATATTTATAGTAAGAATGTGATATTCGAGTTTAAAACAAAATTTTTGCGAAAATTCCTTTCGTGAAAAAAAAAAAAAAAGCAAACAAACAAACAAAAAACCTTTGTGTGAATTAATTAGAAATGTAGTAATTTTGAGAAATATAAAAAAGAAAAATGAAATATTTCAAATCTTTTCATTAATCTAGTTTGATAAATTTTATGTAAGAAAAAAGAAATGAAAAGAAAAACTTAGAATTTGATGTATTCAGTAATTCAACTATGAGTAGCTCTTTTTTATGAATAATAATTCATTTGTAAAATTAAGAATTATTTTCGTATCTAATTTAATATAAATTCAAAAACGATTCTAATTAATCATAGATTATGTAGATGCTATAAAAGATATAATATCATAATACTTTTCAAATGGCTTTTTATTCCTCTTTCCTTCCCTCATTTTTCCATTTGTGATAATGCTTTCATTGTTTCATTTTTTTTTTTTGAAAAAGTAATAAAAAATGAGAATAAATGATGCAGCAGAAAGAATTCACAAAATATCTCATTCAATTTATGAATTTTTATGATATGATGGATAGCTTTTATTTGTATTAATAATGACAATGAAACTTTTTTTATCCTATCACTAAAGCTTGTTTGTTTCAACATTTAAACTTTTTGTCATTTTAGTTGTTTAAAGTTACAAAAAAAAAAATCATCAATACATTACATTTTGCAACTTTTCATATTTCATAAGAAATACAGCAAATTAAACATAAAATTACTCTCTATGATATTTTAGAATAAAAATTGTCGAGAATAAAAAATTGAACAGCTAGTAATTGATACTTACGAAGAATATTAGCTTTGAGAGCGAGAGAGAGAGGGAGAAGTCAGTTTCGAAGAAGATTGATATTTTAATAAAAATAAGTTTAATATGGTGGAGTTGAACTTTGTGGAATGTAGTTCGAAACAAAAATACACATACACACACACACACACACACATACAGACATACACATACACACACACACACACACACACATATTAGTAAATTATTTAATTGCTTAAAAAGCAATGCTCGAAAAGAAGTGGAAAGTAATAGTTGAATTTTATTTAAAAAGTCTAGCTATCCTGCTACGATTATCGAATTGCTTCATCACATCAAATGAGATAAAAATAAAATCAAATAAACTATTTGTCGTTTTCCTTATTGTATAGTTTAATTTGTATAATTTCTGATACAATAAGGAACTGATGCTTGTATAATAATTTTGACTATACAATAAAAGATTTAACTATGTAATACTAAACTATTTTTTCATTGTTATATAATTAAAAATTGTATTAGCTTCTGGTTTTATTTTTAATTCTTGTTTTTTTTTTCCCCATAGATTTGTTTTATATTTGTTTTCTTGAGTATGAGATAATCCTGATAACAGATCATTTTTTATCTTCTCCCCTTCTTCATTATATTATCATGAGTTAGATAAACACTAAATATGATCAACATTTTGTGATATGCTGAAAAAGCACTCCATCTTATATTAGCCAACTATTTATGTTTAAGAATTAATCAACTTGATTAATAAGGAAGATAATTTTACATCAATAATGTAATTATGCAATCAAAAACAATCTAATAATCATTTGGCATTTCATTCCTTTTTGAAATACTTTAAAATATTTCAATGAGTTTATCTAACTTAGCATCTATTGCAGGAAGAAGTTCAAAAAATGAAACTGAAATAATCTATTAATTAGTAGGTAGTTGGAGCTAAAACGTTGACAATGAGATTAAATCTTCACATACTTCTTTTTCCTTTTTCATTTGTGAAAAAACAAAAAAAATCGAAAAATGATATTTGAGAATTTAATACTATCAATACTGTCTGAACTATTTCCAATGACAGTAGTAATAGTTGCACATAAGTAATGTCATCCATCTCAAATAATCATAGAAGTAGGACAACATTTACTTTACTTATTTTTAAAATTTTAAACAAAGTTAGTAACAAAAAAAGATTAAATGTGACAAGAATACTGCCTCAGAGATGCATCAACAATGATAACACAATGTTTTCTTGATGTGAAGGAAGGAATGCTGAGAATTGCACAGAGATGTGAAGAGTAGCGAGCATTTACTGTAAACAACTAAACAACAACATGTAATTTGCATTTCCTGTAGACAAGCAATCGTACACGTACGTCTATCTCTTGTTCGTATGTGACGTAAGTCTCAAAACCCGTGAGACGGAGCATTTGCGTAGTGGAAGTTCGGGAATTTATCAGTGCTTCGAGAGGATGGGAAGTGGAATTTGAGGTGAGAGGATGGAGGAACAGGGTGATTAGTATATGATTCATTTTATAATTGAGTTTTGTGAAATTCACTTTGAACAGTTAGAGTTGATCCATAGAATGAATCCATCGTATCATTTCTTAGCAAAAAAAGCAATTTTTTTTTTTTTTTCAGACATAAACAGTGAATGGACTGTCATGAAGACATGGTCAGGCACTCATTCCAGCAATTTCATGAATTATTTACAGCTTTTCTTGGTAAGTCTGTTTATGAGAATGTTTAAGTAGATATTCATACTGTTTTCATCTGCTTCGAACACAATTATTTATTTGTTGCGAAAGATGGATGACAGTTCTAATAAAATTGTGTTATCTAGTCATTAAAAAAAAAAAAAAATTAATGAAAACTAAACATTTATCAACCTTAATTGTCTCATATTGATTCTCTTATCTAATCATAGCTCTTTTATTTATCATATTTTTATAAATGCTCATATTTATAAGTGCTATAAATGCAGTTAAAATTATAAATGCTGGTTATGCATGAAAGTTGCCAATTTTATGAAAGGCTTCAACGCAGTATATGAGAGAAAGGATGATATAACTGATGTTTCTAATGGTGTTAATTAATTATTTGTGTGTTAGAGTAATTTTTTTCATTCAAATTGTTTGTTTTTCTTTTTATTATATAACTCAAATTTGCTGTAGAATTTTTTCGAAATTATTACTGCAGCTGTAGATTGCAAGAATGATGAGCCCTTTTTCTTTCTATTTTACGCGTGTATTTGCAGCAGATAGTGGTGATGATTCCACTCGTTTACAGTGAATTAGATCATCAAACCTGTCAGGAACGTGGTTTCAACAGTGAATCACTGCAATGCTCAAGTTGTGCGGACCTGCCACAGTTTCATCTAGATGAGCTTGTTGATGACTGTAATTCATGCTGTAGGAAAGATTATGCAGAAATGGAACAAGAAGTATAAAAGTTTTACTTAGTTGGTTTTACAATAATGATAGGAAATCAACTGAAAGCTAAAAACCCTTTTTCCTTATAATAATAAGCAAATAAATTGATGTAGTGATGTTTCTTATCACAATGTTGATTTAACTTGAAATTACTTTTAGAAATATCCTCGAGCTCATATCGAGATTTGTGAATGCAACTTAGGACGATTTCCCCAAGCGGAAGGTTGGTCAACTTCGTTTTCACTGAGTTACTCGAACAACTTCTTTTTATGCGATAGCTCTCATCTGGTGCAATGGCATCTCATTAAAGTGGAGCATATTATTGTATTTACTGAAATATTGATATAAAGCCAATATATATGAAGTATTTCAGCGTTTGTCAAATCCAATATGGTAAAGAAGTGGGGAACTTGTGTGAAAGTTCATCACGTTCGAGGAACATTACCGACAATTAAGTTATTAGATGCTCAAGGAGAAGTGCAAAAGACCATGAATATCGAAAAATGGGATACCGATACAATTACGGAATTTCTGAATACATGGCTGGAGTGCTAGTGATCTATTGCTTGGTTTCTTATAGGTCTCAAAATTTTTTATCGCAAGGGTCTTGATTACTGCTCGAAGGTTTTTATCTGTGTGTACTCGAATTTTATCTTTTTATATAATTTCTGTACTGATGTTCAACAAATAATTCAGAGAAAAAGTCAATTTAGACACATAACAATTTCTTGTGAATACTTTTTCGAAGTATGTAGTCCAAATTGTTATTGGAATCTTAAGATTGAAACATCCTCGTTTGCCTCTTTCCAGATTACGTGGCTTCAAGTTTAAGCGTCCAAAAATAACATAGTTGTTTAATGTTCACTTCAGCATCATCTGTCAATATGTCCTTTTTAGTTTCAACTCTTGTATGAAATCTAATATTTCTCGCTTCCATACTATACCACAGTATAAAATTTTTTATACTATTTATAGTATACCATTTTATACTATATCATAATTTTCAACCATAATTTTGATTCCAAAATAGTTGTTGAAAGATTTAGAAGACTTCTGAGGACAATAAATGGGAATCTTTTTGCATTTTATTTTAATAACATACTATCTTCATGGTTTTTGCTTATCTTAATAACAATAATTAATATGATTGGTAATCTCAGGTTAACACAGAAATCATATGTTTTATATTCTAGAATGATCCATTGTTTCATCATCCATCTATCAGTGACTCGACTCTTAGCTGTTAGCTAATTCTTCCATGAACACTACTGAGAAACTCGTAATTTAAGGTGCGTAGTTTACAAACTTTTCCTCTATAGTCTTTAAATAAATTCAAAGTAAATAGATTGCCTAAATTCATATATCCTTTTATTTCTACAGGAAAAAACTGAATTTCCTTTGACTAATTTCATGATCAAATTAGACAATTTAATTCTGAAGATGTACACCAACTTATTCATCAAGAAGGAACTTTATTGTTGAAAGAGAAAGATTCACAACGGAAAACAATTACTTTGCAGTAACATAAACAATTTGTGAGATTTTGATGAATCTGGAAAATTTTTTACGGGTTCATTGATACCTACTCATGCTGTTTCAGACCTTGATACCATTGCGCATTGTGACTAGCTCCTCCGCACTTGTTGGATGAATAGCTACTGTATTATCGAAATCCTTCTTCGTCGCTCCCATCTTAATAGGAGTCTTTTAAATTTCAATTTAATTCCCTACAGCAGTGAACTTGCAGATAAAAATCATCTGCACAATCAGAAAGAGGAATTTGATAATTATGCTTTTACTACTTATTTTTGATAATTACTGGAAGTACAACTTACCTTGATGGCAACGGCAAAGCCTTGTAGCATTTCATCACATCCCTCGCCAAGCATATGTAAACCCACAACCTAAAAGCAGTATTCACATGAGTTCTATAGAGTTCCATTTCGAAATTCGAAAGTAAATATTTGAAAAAGAAGGGACATCAAAATTTGACATTATGTCAGTTCTATCGAAAGGATACATTTTACACCTACCCGTTCGTTTTCACCAGCACAAATTAATTTCATCATTGTTGGCTCTTTGTGCTGAGTAACAGCATAATACATGGGATTGAATTTCGTTTTATAAATTGTAAGATTGTTCTTCCCATACTGATCAACAGCTTGCGCTAAAACCAAAAATTCTGAATTATATATAAACTAAATAAAAACTTGTCCAACATGAAAATAATAGAGCAGAAAAATGGTAGAGAAACTTAACGGTGACGATTTTTTGCTCTGTAGGTCAAAAATTAAAGGTAACAAGATTTTCACCTTCTGTAAGTCCAACAGTTCCTAGTGGTGGATGACTAAACACAACGCTAGGGATATTTTTATAATCCAAACGATTGTTTATTTCATTGTTGAACAATCTGTGGGCAAGACATCGACCAGCAGCAATCGCAACTGAAAGCTTTATTAAAATGTTTAACTGGTATAAATTTATTGAAATAAAAGCATATATTTTTCAAACAGTATGTCTTCCTAAAATTAATCATAATCCTTCGAATTTCTCTAACCAGGAGTTGTAATGTTCTAGGAGAAGATGGCGTATTCTTATATTCTCAATAAGACAGAAAACTTTGAAACACTTATTGCAATACAATAAAATATGAAATGAAGCCAGAAACACATGCTTCATTTTTCAAGCGATACTCACTAAAATCAAAAATGGTTTAATAAAGAACCTGGTGTCAATAGTGCTTTTCCACAGCAATCTCCTACTGCGTAAATATTTTTGCTTGAAGTGTTTTGATACTCATCAACAATCACATTGCCATTTTCATCGGTTTTCACATTCTATAAAATATCCCTATTTCTAGGGACTTCATTTTGAGACAAACTGCAACGAAAGATTAAATTTGAAATAAAATTGCAAACCACATAGTCTAGATTTAAATCACGTGTTGCAGGAAGGCGACCAACTGCCCAGATTAAACTGTCTACTTCATTAATGATACCACTCGTTGTATTAACAGTAAGCAATCCATCAGACTTTCTTTCCACTGATTTTACCTGAAACGATACATATCATAAGATGTTATGACTGCATTAACAATACATAATTAATGAGTGAAATCATTATCGCCCTAAAAAAAGATTCTCTTAAATGTAGCGCTCACATTAATTCATTTGATTTTATTATAACGCACAAAAAGCTTGCACATTGAAGAAAATCATTTCTCCCATTTATGATTAATTCATTTTATAGTCATAAGACAATATTATATTAGCCCATTAGTCGGGAGTTAAAATATTCCTGAGAAAATCAGATATCCCATCTGAAATACTGTTCTATTTTTGTCAAAATATCAGATGAAAAATTTTATAGTAAGAATAGTGACTAATGAGTAATTAGAATATAATCGGATACAGCAAATAAACTTACTTCCGTATTTTTGTGAAGTTTCGTTGGCCCCCTATCAATGGATTCTGTTAAGCATTCAGACAATGTGTGATCAAAATTCCATAAAACCCTTGGTTTTCGTATCAGTAAATGAACATCAGATCCTAATGCCGACAATACTGATGATAATTCGATCGCTATATAACCACCTCCTACTACTACTGCACGTCTACAATACAATTTTTGTAGGGACAAAAATGATTTAGAATTATGACAACAGCAATATGCAACAAAGAATATATAGTATCTTTGCCTTTATGAGAAAATGCACACAAGCGTTTTTTTTCAAAAACTCACTTAGGTAAAACATCAAGATGGAAGAAGCCATCACTATCGATACCGTATTCCGCTCCTGGAATGTCAGGCCTCTTTGGATACCTGCAATCGCAAATTAAGAAAATTGTGATAAAATCTCATCAGAGTTATCGTACTCCACTCAAAATAAAATATTTAATTCACACTTACCCACCGACGGCTATCAATATGTGCTTTCCGAAATATTTTTTGCCACCTACGTCAACGACACCATCTTCCGTAAACGATGCTTTTCCTCGAATCAATTCAACTTGTGACTAAAATAGATGCACAATTTAAAAATAAGAAAAAACTGAGTAATAAGTGAAACCATTGCAATACATTGAGTGAAGCATAATAATGTTTGTAATAATTTTTGTAAAGAAAGTGAAATACTCTACTGAAAATAGACAATAATTGACAGCCACATTTCTGTTATAAACTATAAATTATATTTAATTTCATTTTCAATTTTATGTTTATGTTCACATCATTACTAAAGCATATCAAATAGGTCTCACATGTAAAATTTTGTATTAAAAAAAAAAGGAAAAATGAATGAATGAAAACAAAACATTTCAAAGTATAAATTGAGTTCTTCAGTGATGAACGAATCACGAATACAAATGGTAAAATGGCAATAATGCAACCTTATTTTATCATTGAATTATTTTTTATTAATTTATATGAAAAAAAAAAAAAAACATGCAACTGAAAACTTTGCTTGCCAAAACACAAATTTCGAGAAAAAGTATGAAAAAAAAAGATTGACTAACATTTGATAAATTTGATTCATATATTCCATTTAAACGCCTGACGTACGCATCACGACTATCCTTTATTTTTCTAAACAAAATTACAACATGTGATTTTCTTTTGAAAAACATTTATTACTAAAAAACAAACAATCATGAAGTGTAATCTACACATTCTAGAGATGCTAAGTTGAAGAAATCATCGCAAAAAATTTAAAAAAAAAAAATGACTTCTTGTTACTTTATAAGTCAATCTTAATGTGCAAGCTTTAATCGCTCGATCGTAAGTACTAGGTCAAAATAGAATTATCCAACAATCGTTTTCTTCCCTACAATGCATTACTCACTAATCATTCTTACTAGATCTTTAAAACAATGAATTATCAAAGTTTCGCTTGTATTTTAAGCATCCTTTGCAGATATTTCAACTTTGATCCATTGTAAATGTTAATGTTTGATAAGATGATGAATACTATTTGTTCTAATTTCTCGATGTCTCCTTTCGAACAGCAAAAACATTTAAATAAGCAGGAAATTAACCTACTTCCAGTTGAAACCGTTCAGTGTCACGTCAAAACCGTAATCGGAATGATCAGCAATTGTCTCTGCATGGCGAGAGCAGTTATACATAACTTTCTTTGGCACACATCCCTTATTTACCTGTAAAAATGATCACAAAAAAATCCACAACACAATTAATTTTAATTCCATCTTTAAAATAACTGGATATGAAACTATCTTCTACATAAAATTAGAGAAAACTAACGCATGTACCACCAAGTCGCGTTTCTTCAATTAATCCTACAGATACTTTAAATTCGGCTGCCCGACGAGCACTTGCAATACCTCCAGAACCACCGCCAATTACTAGATAGTCGTATCTTTTTATCGAATCATCACCACTCATAGTATATGTGTTATTGCTAGAAAATAGTATATCGAATTTGCAAAACTATACTAGAAATAAACCAGTAGGAAAATGAAGTTTTATTTTACTAAGTGAATTAATTTGATTGATATTTTATCATGGAATTTACACATGTATCTGCACTGACTTGGTACATGCAACAGTCTCCTATTCCAAATGTTCCTTACTGTGTACTAAGGAATTTCTTGGAATTCAACAAAAGTGATGTGTGCAACTTCTGTGTGCGAAGTTGCGCAGAACCAATCGAAGACAACCAATAAGCAAATCGATGACGATACCAACAAATGAAGGGTGCTCGATTCATCGATTAGTGTAAATTACACACGGAGCAAAACTTAGTATGGTATGACTATGTCAACCAGAATGATTCCGCTCCTATAACGAATCAATCGACATACTTTTAATTCTTTATAAGTAATATGTTAAATGTTACGTAAATTAAGATATCCCACGCGTATGCAAGAGAAAGTTGAATTTTTTATCGAATACACAACCTTTCACTTCCAACGCATTAATTAAATTATAAGTGTTTCACATAATTCAGGATTATTCGAACACGTTGAGAGTCATTCTATGAAGATTCTCAAGATTTTCAAGTTGAATTAACAATGATTCCTAAATTTTTATTTTCATACCACTGACTTTCCCATTTACTATTTACTATAACAAATTCTCAAAACATCCCAATTACGCACTTACTGTGACAAAATACTGGCTAAATAATGCACTTGTAGTTTATAATAAAAATCAGCATAACATTTACATATAATACACATACATAGCGCTACAATAACTTACTATCACCTTACTAACTTACTACCACCAGGTATCTCGAATTTTTATAAATATCATCGTCAAACCGATTTGAGACAAGCCAATGTCTTTATCAATAGAGAATGAAGGGAAATAGGACAAAAAAGTAGCACATTTATTTATCATGTATTCATATATAAAAATATTTTAATCCATTCCGAAAATCAAATCTACTTAGATGAATGTTTCAAACATTTTATCGTTTATTAATCATAAGTGAACAAAAAGCAAAACATAAACCAGTTATTACCGAAATACATCTGAGAAAGTGAAAGAAACAGTGGTATAAATAAACAAGGATAAAACCGCATCTTTTGCAACAAAACATCTTAAAGAAGTTTATTAATCCAAAGTAAGCTTACTAAGATAACTAACATAATATCAGCAATTTCATAGCCTATCTTTCTTTATCTTTTTAAGTTCTTGAAGTTCAATTCATCCAAATGAATTAGGAATTTAGAAAGAACAATGTTTTCTAGTAAGTTAACTTCAGAAAAATCCTGATGTGAAAGTATTGAAACATATACTAGATTTCTAAAATCAGTTTCTTACTCAAATTACTGAGGAATTCAAAGAAATCTATTTGCGTGAAAAGTTATACAAAGCGTCGTCACCTCGCATAAATTATACCTATGCTAAGCATAAAACATGAGTGAAAAAATAAATTAATTAAAAAAGGAAATGAGGAACATTAATAAAAAGGACAAATAACAAAAGATAATAAGCAGCTACCAGAACAAGTAACGAGCAACAAAACCGAAAAAACCTACAAAGAAAAGAAGCACAGTTACCTTGAACAGCGTACTTTTCCGATTAAGCAATCTCGCATCTTCTCGATATTTCTTACTGATATCCGACAAGTCATTTGCCCTTGTCTCCAAAACTGTTAAAAAATGTTATTTCATAAATCTGCTCTGGTAAATCGTAAACTATCAAAAAATTTCAGTCAAATCGGATAGTCAAGAAGTTTTAATTTATCCAAAAAGTTGGAACTGTATGCGAAACAAATCTTATTTACGGAATTATCATCTAATTTACTTATTTCAGCAAAATAAAAAATCAGTGTACTTATTTGCTGCACAAAAGGCTATTACATGCATTCATTATTTATTAATGCAACCAAAATTATAATGTCAATAAATGCTTGCGATTTATTCAATTATTAATAGCATTGTAAACAAATAAAACGGTAAACGAATAACTTACTATTTAATGCTTCACCGCGATGAATTACATCTTCAATATTTGAAACCATTATGCGTGTCACATCTTGTAGTTCACTACTGACTGCAGATATCGCATGACGACTCCTACCAGCATATTTCCTTTTTGCTTGTTGTATATAGTAATCTGCAGTTTAACACTAAATACATGTATAAGTAGCAAAAAAATACCATTTGCTCAAATACTAGCAATACAGTTTTGAATATTATTTGACCTTTTTGGAGAATGTAGTTATTAAAAAGTAAGCGATTTTAAGAAATCCGTGAAAAACCTCATAAGCCACTATGTGTATTAAAATGAAAAACGCTTCTTTTTTTTCAATTTTTTTTTTTTTTTTTTTGCGAAACACAATAATTTACAAAGATAATAAACGCATAAATTTAAAAGTTTAGGGATATATAGAAAAATCGAACCAAATTCAATGAAATGATATGGTCTAGTGACAGATGCTATGCGTGTGCCATTCTGACCAAGAAATTCATCGGTAACATCTTCTAAATATGCAAAGGCAGATTTCCGTGAAAAATTTTTTTCACAGAGACATAGTGAGCAGACTGGTGTTTTGATCACGTAGCTGTAAGATACCTTTAATAAATATCACCAAGACTGTTATACCAACAAAAATGGCTGAATTTTTACTAAAAATACTGAACACTGAAAAGAAGAAAACTAACTGAAAATAATAAGGTCCACTCTCAAGAGTATGTATAGTCGGACTGTTGTCATTCAGCTTCCGAAAAAGCATCTTTGCCTGATTAGTATATTTCACCATATTATGATCCGGCTGAAAGTATTATCTAAGTTATCAACCAAAAAGTGTTTGGTTTAGCATCTATTTTCCTCTTAACAGAAATTTCAATCAGACATGTGATAAGAGTATACCGCAAAATATTTCATTTTGAATTTGCCCAAAGGCGACATTTTCTTAGTCTGCATGTTTATTAATCGCTCGGATGCCTAGTGCGACACTGTCAGTATTATTGATATCATTCACGACCTAAGGTTAAGACATGCATTTCACTGGTTTTCAACTGTTTTTTCTTCCATAGGATTTCTCATTAATTCAATTGAAATGAATCAAATTTCAAGCAAACAAACTTCATCGCTGCCTTCAATTGAAGTTGCAAGAATGAGACCATCGGATACACGTGCAATTAGCGTTAGCAAAACCATTGACGTGTAAATCACAGCTCTAAAAGTAAACTGAAATTCATCTCTCCCAACCTGATAACGACAACATGCAGAATCAAAAAAGCGTACACTAATCATAATTGTGAATTCTGTCATCAAAATGATTTGAAAAATATTCCCTCCCCTAATGATATGTCATTCATCAGAGCCAATCCATAGAAACTTCTCCATGGCTGCGCGAACACGCCTCTAAGCTAACGTAATTCATGAAAACGCCTAATGCACGTAGCCAATATGCAATAAGACATCTCAACGATAACATTGACACGCAGTGAAGACGTACCATCGCGTGACTCAAACCTTAGCAGTATTCAATTCAAAGCCTTGCCTTACAGCTAGTTACATAGTCTACAAAGAAAGATAGAGTCGTCTTCCAGTACTTATACCACCAAAACTAACATTAATTAACTCATCATACGTACACGTGTAAATAACTTATTGTTGAGTTAAATACTATGAATTAATTAGCTAATTAGTTACAACAGGAAGAGAGAGCACTCTATGACATGCCATAATAGTATATCTTTCAGATCGATATAGGAATTCATTCCCAGATCAATTTCCTTCTGTTACTTTCTTTGGTCCATTTACCGTCTCTTATAAATCTGGAAAGTTTGTAGACAAATTTAGACATCCTTTATCTCATTTTGCTCATGCTGTTCATTGAGATATAAATTCACTTTCACTAATATTTTCATATTTACTAACCGGAAACAGGAAACAACGAAAGTGATACAACGAACGGAAACAGGAAACAACGAAAGGTTCTTATAAATTAAATATTAAAAACTGAATAAATTAAATATTTGATTTGTTTAATCGCTTCTATCAATCATATTTTTTGAGCAGAAATACCTTACTTATTAAAAATATTCAGCTATACATCAGTAAAAATATTATGATAAATGAATATGGTAACAAGCGGATTCATTCCTCTTATTATGCATTTAATCAATTTGCTACGGCATTTCATTGCACTTAAAATATTTAAAAGGCGTAGATAATACCGGTATAATGAACTGAAACTTTAAATATTAAAAAAAATCAGGCACAAACAAATAGCTTTCAAAAACTCTGAGCATCACAGAAATGCACTAATACATATGATATGAACATAACGTGTGAATTTAGTTTCAAAACTGTTTGTGTTCACATAATGTTCAAGAACTTGTAGCATAGATACAAAATACAGATGTCCTTCACAGAAGTGAAATTAGTAATATTATCTACATTAACAAGAAAAATTCATACAACGCAAATCACTACCCGGAATGTGTTGCACATTCAAAACTTTATAGAGATCACGATAATATTGCACAAATCGAACTGAAAAAAACTGTGGAAATATTTGTAAATTGAAATGAGAAATAAAGTAAATAATTCAGCAAAAAACTCGCTTACTTAGAAGTAATCAGTCAACAACCATCTTTTCACCCAGTTTTATAAGGCTCTGGTTTCATTATCCAGTAAATTCTTGGACGAAGACTTCGAAAAATACGGAAAACATACCAGATGCTTTCTTTTGCTCCGTGTCACTAGACCATTTTAATGCTTTCATCGTCATTTTCAGCAAATCATTTAGTTGGGACGCATCCAAATCTCTCATTTTTTTGATAAAATCATTTGCAAGACGTCCAAGCTAAAAATGTTATACTGTTACCATAAACATACTTAAAACAAATATAGTCTTTAACCATTCTATCACTACCAACCAACTGACGCTAACTCATGGCAATTCTATAAATTCAGTTTATATTTTCAGAAAAAGAAGTACAAAAATAAAGCTAACAATGGAGTAAAAATGAAACTAGAAAACTAAGAAAAAGGAAAACTAGTGGAAAGGAAATTGTAACGTACCATGTATTTGATAGAAACTTTTCGTAATTCATTTGCTACTGGTATTTCTAGCATCGAAGGTGATTCGGTCTTCAATAACTTCGCGAGCACTGATAAACTGACAAGATCCATTTCCTTGAATAAATCGAATTGAACTAAAGTTTAATTAATAAATAAAAATCGTTAATCGAATGTAATAATTATGTAAATAAATGGATTACCAGCAAGGGAAGAATGCTATTTGTATTTCCGAAACAATTGCGGAAGAAAATGTACAAATTGGAGTAGCGCTTCTTTGGAATAGAAGTAAACTTTTCGGTAATAATGCACATAAGCAACTGGCACATATCAGAAAGCATGCTGCAAATTTATGCTAATAAATTACAATAAAGAAACATATATGTCACTGGTTTGCTCACGAATCTAACAAACAAATAAATTATGTTAACTAAAAAAGTCTAATATTTAAAAAGTTTCAACTTACTTTACCATCACTTGCCATTTCATGATACCTGAATGATTATAGAATTCTGTACTAAGCCTCGTCATAACCACACGTAATATTTCCGCTGTCTGTATTGCACAACTCTACAAAAGTATTGTAAATAACACAAATGACTACAAAAATTGAACGATGTTTTATATATAAATTTTTGAAAAAATCGAGTTATACATTTTTCTTTTCCGCTATCCACGAGATTCTAGCCAAATTATTTTCAGCTTGCTTCAAAACATCACATTGTAAGTTGATTAACAAATCGTCAGTTAATAATTTTGTAAATTTGATCTGAAATAAAAGTGCAACCACTTCATAAAATGAATGCAAAAAAAAAAAAGAAACATGGGCAATAATTTTACTAATAAATTAAAAATAACATATTAGAGGTTTGAACGTTTTATTCAAACTTTCTTTTACGAAAAAGCTAACTGTCCCTTTTTGATGTTGAATGTTAACAAGTCAAAATATTGTGCATAATGTTAGGATAAAAAGATGTGTCAAGCACGACACTAAGACACAAAATGTACCCTTTCATTGTTGATAGCCTGTTCTTTTAATTCTTTTGCATATCGAAAGCAACTATTGACAAGAAGTTTGCAAGCACATTTTGGACATGTATACTGTTGCTTTTTTAATGTTTGGTCTCCTATATGGCTGTCAGCTTCCTTTAAACGACTTTTACATATATGGTAAAAAATTAGCCAGAAAAATAAAAAAAAAAATTTCAAATTCTTCAGAAAAAGTGTTGTGCAAAGGGGTTTTTCGGTTCATATATATATTTCGAATATATTATGCTGTTCGAAAAAAAAAAAAAGCAAAACTACCTTAACGCTCACAATACATTTACAACCTTGAAATTGCAATACAGGAACATTTATTCCCTGACATTGAACGCAAACATCTGTAATTATTTTCCTGTCTAAAAGAAACCAATCAAACATCAAATAAAGTGAAATTTTTGATTTTTATTGAGAATTTATATGTGTTAATTAAAGATAACGAAATATAAGAGAACATTCTGAAAAACTTTACGGATTAAGAGATTGCAATTTCAACTCTATACATAATTATTTTTAACACTACCGCCGAAAAGGTTTCACCTGGACAAACTTCGCCACAAAGACTCAGACAAGTGTGCCCACAATCAAGCTTTTTGTCGCATGGAAAACAACATGGTCTTATACTACAAACTTGCCAACACTTCATTTGACATTGCCGATGTTTGCAGCTGTTTGTGCAACGTTGAACGCAAAAGCTGCAAAAATCAGCACATCGAGCTTTTTGTTCCTGCAATGTGATTAAAGTAAAAATTTGAGTTAAAATTTATATTACAGTAGTCCGTTCATAGAACAGAAACAACAACATGTTATATAATTTAGTAATATATTGCCAGTCATTGAAATTAAAAGTGTAAAACAAAATAGCAAAATGGTCCAAACCACAAGTATATCAAGTTGTTGACCACAATGTGAATGTTCACACTGATTTGAACAAGGAGCTATGCAGGGCTCACAGGGTATTCCACATGTGCGCAAACACTCGTGACCGCAGGAAAGTCGTTTACCACAAACTGACGTACAACTAACACATCCCTCTGTAAATAAATTGCCTCATTTACAAAGATTTCATATTTTTAACTAATTTCATTATAAAAAAAAAAAAGTGAAGATTTCATTCATTTCGAGAGCATTACTGTTTATAAACAACGACTGGAATCACTAAACTAGCTCGTCATTTGCACCTAATGATTAAGAAGATCATCCAGTGATTCACTTCTAAAAACAAAGAAAAAAAAATGAAAACGTAAGAGATCATTTGTGTGAGCATTGGAAAATAAAAGAGATTTTAACAAAATTTTAAAAATAAATAAATAAATAAATAAATAAACAGAGTTGTTTATCCCGAAGAAGTAATTAAGAATTGAAATTATTTTTAATACAATAACTAACCCAATGTGCATTTTCCACATACTGATTGACAACGATGACCACATAGCAAAATCCGCCCACATCTCTCACCGCATTGTGCATCTTCATAGTTATAGCATGGTACTGACCAGCGATGACTACACGTCGCAAATATTTTTTCTATTTCTACTATGCATTTTGTTTCTTGTTTTTCAGAACAACTAGCTGTAACGGTGTGTCCACAATTCATCAAAATCTTCTAAAAAAAAAAAAAATTTCAAACTGTCATCATAGATTATTTGTGAAAGGAACTGCTCCCAGACTATTCATTTTTCTGAAAGTCTATTCATAATTTCCATACGATAATGTGACAGAACGTCCACATAAAACTTCATCGTGAAAAAATATCAACAGTCAGCAATAGTATTATCAATAAATATGGCAAACGAATACTCACATATGAGCACTTGCATGGTTCTCTGCATTTGTTTCTACATTGATGACCACATGGCAATTCTTTCGAACATTTCTGTTGACAAACTGCTTCCTCGAATAGATAACAAACAACACCAGTTGTATGTCCACAAGGGAAAGTCTTGTTTACAAAAAACTGGCATTTACCACAAGGCTGAAAGTGAACTTCGACAATTTGCCTGGTATGCCAAATCATTTACAATTGACAATTTGCTGATTTTCCAGTGTTACTTATATGTACAGAATAAGTGACACATGAGACTAATAGATATGTACTTGTCTTCTTGTTTGAAACATTGGAAAAAAAAATCTTACTTCACCGCATAATTTTGTGCAGGGATGCCGAGATGCTGTTGAGCACGTTTTTAAACAAGGATGAGTACATGATTTGTTATGTTCTTGATCTGTTCTGAATTGATTATTTTAATTAATCTTGCTTTTATCCTTGTTCATTCCATTTCCCACTCTTTTATTTAACTAACTGAATTAGTTTAAGATTACTATACAATACCACGTTGAAAATTCCGTTCATGGTTTAAAGAATTGAAAGTAATCATACCGATGACAAGGTTGACCACAGATGTGACCACAAGGTCGCACAAAATCACAAGAATAATAGCAACCACCTTCAGGAGTTTTTGTCAGAAATTCAGCCGCGTTATGGATAATCTGAAGGTGAATACATCCTTTAAAAATGGCAAGCTAAATTTAAATCAGATATTTAGAAAATACGCTTCCAAATTAAGTTTCATTAAATCCAATTACCTGTGTAGCATCATGCTTTGCACAAAATGCCGGAAAGCCGTCACCAATAGAATCAACATCTGACAAAGAAATATAGAGCCGATTCCACAGAGCAGAGTTAGATTTAAGAAAGTGCATATTGCCTATCATGTAAAGACCAAGTTTGGAACGTGATAAAGCCACACACACGCGATTAGAAATCTGAACAGTGCACTCTGATTTACTTCTTTATTCGAGCTGATATAACCAAAATTCGTCAACCGATCCACATTTTTTAAATTTCAGTAAATTTCCTAGAATTTTTCAATAAATCAAGGAATTTATAAACGCACCCCAATAAAACCGGCATTGCTACTCGGTTGTGAACGTACAAGCGACAGAATGACTATGTCATTTTCTTCACCTTGATAATTATCAATAGTTTCAACCAAAGGAAGATTTGCATTGTTGAATTTTAACATTACTTGTGTCCTTACATAATTTGCCTGAGCTGTATAAGCACACAATAACGTGATCTAAAAAAAAGAAAAAAAAACTACTGCTAATTTCATTTGCTTTAACAGTAACATAAGTTTATATTTTTTTGAAAAATAAAAACTAATACAGACAAGCAAACCTGTGAGCAAGCATAGCCCTGTTGAACAAAATAAGCAGATAAGTTGACCATAAAATCACCCTCAAATGAATTTTTATGTGAAGTAGAAAAGATTACATCTTCGTCGTGACAATGGCTAATGAAATACAGATTTTTCTGGCATCCTGGAAGAAATATAACTAATTAAATTAATAAAATTTGAATTCATAAAAATTTATTTCATATAGATTTACTTCATCAGAAATACTTTCATCTTTACCTATTTAAAATCTACATTCAACTTTCAATATAATAGTGTAAGTGATTTCAAAACATCTTACCTTCAATATTTGGGTATCTGAAAACATTCTCGGCACTTCTCATTAAAGGATAAAATTCTGGCATAAGAGTATTCGCTATAGCAGGAGCCATACGATGCTGACTTTCCAATAATGCGTATGGAAAACCATTTTTGATTAATCTTTCAAACAACGATATATCCAAATTATACTCACGAGCAAGAGCAAATACAGCTGAAGTAAATGATTTATGCTAACCTCACATATATATTGCTAAGTGAAAAACATTATAAAAATTACGAAAAAGTTAAATCTTTCAGCAGCGATAAGAATGAAAATTTATGTATTTCAGCTGACGAATATACCAAAGAGTTCGATGGAAAAGAAATATAATAGGAGGTAAAAGAGTGCATTATTTATCTTAAAAAACTCGAACAAGAAAAATCAAACGTAGTACGCTTCAGAAGATCATTCTTCCGCATATATCAAATTTAGCTAAGTTCATTTTCAACAACATATTTCATACCAGGATTTGGACGTAACTGCTTATGATCACCAATCAGAATAGCATGCTGACATTTATTTGTAATGCTTGTCAAAACATGAGCTTCCAAGACTTCAGCCGCTTCTTCTACTATTACAATGGGACAACCAAGACGATCCAAAAACGGTTTTATCTTTGCAGCACCAGTTGTAGTTGCACCGATAATCTACAAACTCGATAAGATGAAACTACAGATCCCAAAACTATGTAAAGACATAAAATCGAGAATTATAAAAAGCTAGAATGACTTCAGAAAAATTTTTGAAATGCTCACGCCTAAGGAAAGAATTATTTCTATAGGCAAGCACTTAAATTTGAAAGTAACTTATAAAGACCGTTAATATAAGCTGACTGTTCAGAAAAGTTTATGTGAAGAAACAATCTCTGATAAACTAAAAAATCTCAACAGAAAATTTATAAAACGGGCAGGTAAAATTTTGGCTAATTATATGAAAAAATATAAAGAAACAATACCAAAGCCTTTCGTAAAATGATTTCATCCAAAAGATCGAATTCCTTCTTAACGTCCTTCATAATAATTTGATACTGGCATATGAGCGTCTTTAATCTGTTACATACAACAACCTTTAGTTTCTTGATCCAATGCATATACAGAGCCCAACGACGATGTCTGTGCAAAGTTTGTAGGTTTTTAATCGATGAAGCTTCTTCTGACGTCAAAGGACAACTCTAAAAATTTTTAACGTTTTCAGAAAAGTGAAATATGAAGGGTAATAGCACATAATTTAGGGTTAATATTGAACAATTACTTTACAAAATGGTAGCTTTATCCAGTGCAAAATTCTTTTCTGCGGAATTACGCTAATATTAAAAAAGTAATTGATGAGAAAAGAAATAAACTAACTTTTAATATATCAGCCTTCACATTCTTCAGATCTGCAATAAGCTCGGCAGCGTATTTTGCCTAAAACAATGCGAAAAGTCTAATTTATGAGGAATAAAGAATAACAAGAATTGGTACTTAGCACAAATTATGCTTAACTAATGACTGCAAAAATTCAACAACTATTACATTATCCTTTAATTTGGCGTGCATCTGTTCTGATAATATTGTAACATCTTCGATGGTACTTGCATTAGGATCTTTATTAAGATCCCACTCACCACAGTGATAATAGTCACTTATATCTGTGTTAGATTTGAGCAGCTGCTCCTGAAAATATCTTAATTAATAATTTTTATGTACTTTCCGGCACTATTTGCTGTCTTAAAAAGCTACAGAAATTTTCACTACTTAAGAAAGTTTATATCCCAATTTCCAAAACAAAGAACATTTTTCATGCTGATCAATTAGTGAATTAATAGGAAGCGAAACAGATCTGAAAAAAAGTAACACAAAGAGAGGAATTCACATGAATAATTTCTTAGTTTTTACTTGCATTACAAATACATTGTTGAAGTTATATATTCGGATTCATCGTGAAAACGTGAAAATCAATCTGTATTTCTTTCCAAGTTATACAATCATTCACCTGTGGAAGTGACTCAACGACTTCCTTTTTCTGTTCATTTTGCTCTTTGACGAGCGTTTCATCCATGAACCATAAAGTTGACATTTCTGCATTTCCGAAAAATTTTTCCTCCTGCAAAAGCGAGAAATTTTAATTGCAAGTTGTTGCAAACTTCAACAATTTTAATGATTTAAGTATTTCATCCAAAGGTGATTAAATTGTCTTACTTTTGCATTGTCTTCTACAATGACACAATCCTCTCTACCAACATCACTTTCCAGAAGCCATGTGCAGAATATTTCGTCCATCTGAAATGTGAAGAAAGGCGATATGTTAAAATCCAGCACTTGAAATTCACCTCAGTGTTAATAAATTCTTTATGGAATTACAGAAAATTTCAAAATCTAAGTTTTAAATATGCGGGCGATATGCGACAAAAGTAAATCAAAAAAAAAAACAAACAGTAGGGTAAACTATCTATGAAATACAACCATACTATAATTACTTGAAATACTAACCGGATGTCTTTTTCCTTTAGTTCGTCGTTGCACACTAAACTGTTGGACATGTTCCGGTAACATTACACATTGCATGTGCTTATAGGACAAAATCTCATTCTTATTGTGCATTAGTATAGCAACTTGAGATCGAATTATTTTCAATAAATGTATTCTCTCAGAAATTATCTTGCTCGCCTATAAAATTTTCTTGCTATAATATCATAAGCTTACAGAAGTTCGACAGCTCTATAGCCACGAAAAAAAGTTAAGAGCAACCTTATGCTTTGTTGTATCTGGAATCAAGTCACTGTATGCTTTCAATACCGACCGCTTTGTATATCTGCAAATGAATTGCAACTTTTTTAAGTAATGTACCAAAGTTTTTTATTTGGAAATAAACAGCACGTTTTCCACATGAAGTTTGATAAAATTATTTTATCTCTTTAAGTAGAATAAAAATAACGTACTTTTGTAAAGTTTCGCTTTTACAGCGCGATCCAAATCTAACAATACTAGGAAGTTCGTCATTGTAACGTTTATCATTTATTAAATCCACTAAAATACCATCCAAAAACTGATCGAGAGCATGATTAGTAAAGCATACAACTATTATCGGATTTATTCTTTCTGGATTCCACATAGTTATATTTTCCAGCAAAATGCGTATAATAAGACGACCAAGAAAAGTTTTTCCTGAATTGAAACATATTATTCAAACAAAAACCAGTTAAAGTTGATTTAATATAGCAAAATTTCACTGTTTGATCTTGTTTGTAAGAGCATCAGTGGTATAAAGAAAAATAAAAGTAAAGACAAAGTCAGAATTATTTACAGAAGGCATTTACTTCATTAACTGGCCGGCAAAGAAATCTCTAACCTATTCTATTAAGTAGCTATTTCGAGTTAACCTTGAATACATCATGAGAATCAACGGATACCCGATTCTTGAGTCTCAAGAAAATCATGGATATTTCTTTCCTTGTTTTTAATTCTCTTCATACATACCTGCCGGCAATTTTTTTTACACCTATTACAATAATCTTATATGCATATAAATTCCACTTCTATCATCGGATAATGATAATAATTTTGTGGAAAACTATACACATCTCTTCCAGCTCCTCAACTTCCTTTTTTATTATTATTTCTTGATTTTCATCACTTTCGTATACCAACCAATTTTATAAAGTCGAATAAATGAGCTAACCTGTACCCGGAGGCCCCTGGACCAAGGCAAGTTCATGCGTAAGAGCGTAGCAAAGCGCATTTCGTTGGGCGTCGTCTAAACCAATCTTATTTCCGTCAAGCGTATATTTCAACTTATCCACTTTATATTTCGTTCCAAAAATGCTTATTTCTTTAGCAATCACAGTTTCTATAAAATATTTCGGAATATGATTAATTATTATAAAACAATATAATTGCTTAGTTCCAGAGACATGAAGTGGACTGTTTTTTCAGCCCAACTTTATTATATTCAAAGACGATTTCCAGAAAATCTGCACACAGATTTGCAAATTTCTATTACTACAAAGGAGTTAATAATCGTTTCAAATATTTTGCCTTATGATAAAATAGAACTTACTTTTGAGTGAGGAAGAAGAGGCACTATAATCGGTATATTCACTGTTCAAAGAATCCGAAGAACTGTGAGAATCTTCGTCTATGACCTGAACAAGATATGATGGGAAACCAACATCAGTTTCAGCATTTACCAAAAAACGTTCGAATGGAATCGTGTGACTGTTATCAAAACGCTGGAAATTCGTCAAATATTCAGCAAGCAAGCGTGCAACTGATCATATGTTTCGATATCTGTTATAGAACATCTCTCTCTCTAAAGTCCAAGAATTCTACGAACTGTTAGAAAAGATAATTAGATTTCTGTTGTTATCTTCCTTAAATTAGTAAAATTGATAAATTGGTAAAATTAGTAAAAATGTACGAAAGAAAAAATCATCCTCATAGAATTAACTCTTAAATCCCACAAGGTAAATACATCTTAAAATTTTCTGACAAAGAAAAGATACCATTACTGAAGCCTAGGCTGAGGTACATTTATGCACATTATTTACAATTCTTGCTCCATAATCATTTTTGGTGAAGAATATAGTACCTTGATGCATTCCAAGACATGTTGATACATTTCATAATATGAGCTCGACTCAACTAAAGTATAAATTTTGGTTCGTGAAACTAAATGATCATCGAAAAAATGTAATCCTAATTTTCCTTCGGAAAAATCATCAGAATCTTTCTCAGCAATAGTGGCAAGCAGGGCTTCCTCTGAAACTAAGCAGTGTATAATTCAAATTACGAGAAAGTTATAGAGCATAATATTAAATAATGAGAAAAACAGGAAATTGTAAACAACTTTGCTTCTAGAAAAAGAAATTTTCAAAATTCATTCTTTCAAAAGCAAATACTGTGAATATAGAGTTGTCACAAACCCTGGAATCTGTCGCTTGACAATGTCACCAACTGTCCAAACTTAAGTCGTGAATCCCAAAAATTATCTGCACTTGGAGGCTGAAAATTATCTTTCAGTTACCGTGCAATAAACAATTATGAAAAATAAATTCGTAATTCAAGCTCAAAATTCAGCAATAATTTGAACCTGAAAAATGATGTAACGAATAATTTCTCCTGTACTTTGTTTTAGTTGTGCACCTTCCACAATAACACCCTTTATGATCAGTAAATCGAGTTCTTCATTTGCATCCGTTGCATATGACACAAAGGCTTCTATAAATAAATGATATCGAATTCCAGCTTTGTAATTTTAGGGATTGTTTACAAAATATATCAATACTATAACTAGTGAGAGAAATAATGCCCACACCAGAAAATCTCAATCTATTTCCAGAAAACTAATAATGCTGATTTTATTCATAGCCTCACTGCAACCTTTTTCTTTTTGTTGTCGCCATAACTCTATACCGTCTCGCAACGGACCAATCAAATCTTCACGCATGAGACGAAACTGTATATCGAGGTAATGTTCTTGACTTGAGTAACTTCCTTTGACGATATTTTTTCGAATATAAGGTTGAACTGCAAATATATATCATATTGCAAAATATGCTGAAGTATATTTTTCAAAATATATTAGCAAATACCACGTGACAATGCTGCAAAAATTCGCATGTTCAGGAATATGAATTCCTAATGATCATGAATCCACTGAAATATGCTTACCTCTCTGCATCTCATTAACAATACCACAATACCAATATATAAACAATTTAATGATAATGGCTTCATAAACACTGCACCTGGATGAAGTATATCACTACTAGTAGCGTAAACTGACAATGTTCGAAAATCTTCTGGAGGTTCTACAACATCACCATTGATGCATGCTGACAAATAGTGTTTAGTTCTTTTTCTTTTTTCCTCAAAACATTTCATATCGCTATCTGCCATATTTGATTCCCAGTCTTCATGCGAATCTACTGCTAAAGGCTCAGCAGGGTCGATCTAGAAAAAATTTTTGACAAATTACGACCATTACAATTGCAAAAATACGGAAAACAAAAACCGGTTAGATAATAATAGAATAATGCCATGTCCAGTAAATGATCATTGAAAATAAAACATGAACTAAAAAACAAATTGCAAAACATACAACTAATTTTTGTAACATTTTGAAAACTGTCAACTTAAGCTTTTCATCGATAGCTAACCAACATTTTTCCGGAATTAATTCCATAAAATATAAAAATTCTTCACATGCAATATCCTAAAATACTAAATCTATATGAACAATGTTCCACGACTGTAAATAATTATTTGAAAAATAAATCAGTAGATACAGCAAAGTTTTTTTTTTTTTTTTTTTGAATATGCAGCAAAGTTGCAGAAGCAACTCACGAAATCTTGAATGTGTTTAACTTTCGAAATGTATAATATCTGCATGACGTCTTGAAGCTGAATGAAGAGAGTTCTATAGCATTCAGCACTAGTAACACTACGTATGTGACATACATTATCACGAAGCATGAAAGAAATAAAACTGAAATATAAAATATGGTTAGATATCTTCATTTTTAAGTTAACTTTGGATGAACATACTCTAAGGGATGAAAACTGAAAAATAACTCTGAATTGATGATCGCCTCCAACAAATTAACCACTGAAGATTGAAGATCTGGAAGTTCTGTAAATGAAGCAGCTGAAAGAATGGCAAGCAGTTGGACATTCTGCTCTCTGTCGGTGAACGGAATACGTAACCTATTATGCAATAATGGACCATCGATGTATTTTATCTATAGTAAAAAAACATTAATCCTCTGTATCAGCAATCTGTTATAAAGGACAAATGAGTTATATTTCAAATTAGAGCAAAAATTTTTTTGCATTTTACTTTTTATCTAAAGCTTATTTGGCGCATAAAAATAATTCATGCTACCAAATCTAAGTCTTTCAGTGGTTTTTCCAGTTTTTGAAGATTCGCAAAAATGTTCTCAACATGAACAAAATCGAGTAATGGACAGTCTCGATTAACTACATGTTCTTCTTGATTCTCGCCACCTGAAATATGATTTTAAGCAATTTTTAACCATTTTTATGATTAAGTACTGGTTTTGCATACCACCTATTGACAAAACTATATACTGGAGTTATTTAACGCATTACATCAAACAATGCCTATCTCTTTTCCATTTAGCATTAGTAATATTTTGTAAGTATAATGGAAACCCAATAAAGAAAACAGACGTCTAATGAACAATTCTTCATTTGACAGTTTTTCAGTTGTTTCAATAACATTTGTTTTGATTGATTCTGCTTCTTTAGTATTTTGAGATCCAAATTCTACTTCCGAAGCTGAAGAAAAACTACGGTTCTATAGAACAAATACCCCGAAAATTAATTGGTGTCCAAATTTTCGAAAATGAAAACCTAGTGAAATGAAATGAAATAAAAAATTCCCAATAGAACAAATTAAAAATTTTCCACAACAAAATTAAAACAAGAACAGCTTACTTCTGCAAAATTTTTCACTTAGAAGTTCACAAATTTCTTTGACCCAACAGCCTATCATTTTTTCAGTTTTATTACGCGCACAGAGAAGCAAACTTTCACTCGTTTGTATGTAAAGCAAGATCTTTTCACTCCAAATTTTTTGTATTTTTTTCTCCACTTCATTCGAGTCTGAAAATACATCATTCAGATAAACAAAAAGGTGGGAATAAAGAAATCATTAGAAATTTAAACTTTTGATGCTGAAAATTAAAAACCATTGAGACATAAAGAGTGGAGCAGTAGCAATTTCTATGGAAGTTACAGTGACAACTCATAACAGTTAAAAAAAGCCTACCACTATCATTGAACAATATTACAAGCATCTTATCTTCGTCCGATTCCAATTCATCGCACCATTCATCCACTTCTGTTTGTGCCATTACTACATTTTTTGTAAACAGAAATGATGGTGATTGCGCTAAATTTAATCCCAACTTAGAACTGCTTTCACGAAACACATTTGCGAATGAGCTAAAAATGACAATTTAAGAATCTTATTGACGATTTTACTAAACATTTCACAATACTGTTACAAACTTTGTCTTCCGAAACTATTATTAAGCAAGGAAAAAAATCTCATCTATACTTGTTTTAAGAATATCTATAACAATATACATTCCCAACATAATCTGATGTTATTTTTGTTAATCCTATATATTCCATTTTTGCATTTATCTTCATAATCAGTCTTGTTTGTAATAATTATGTAAATAACGCACCGCATCATTTCATATGTAATTTCTCCTTTGTTTTTATCACCAAAAATGATAATTCCCCACTCATATTTCATTGTTGACATGATATCTCCTGTAACATTTATTCCATTAGCCATAACCATTTTAAATTTGTTGAAAAAGTGTTTACAATGAATTAGCGGCCCAATGTTTCCTGTCAATAATTCATGTGAAAATCAGTCAATCTCTGTTTGTGTTTGATTAAATTTGCTTCAAATATTATTAACCTTTGGAGGAATATTTAAATGCTATATATGTTACATAGTATAGTAAGTATTGTTTGATGGGAAGATATTTGGAAAGAAACGCATTACATTTGCATAATCAAAAAAAATGAGAGTACGAATTGAGTGGTCAATCATTTATCTGCTTCTGTACTGAACATAATGTTGGATAAAAATCATACATCCATTCTTGTTGGATAATAAATTGTTGAAATAAATCCAACTATTGTAAACATTATCATTTCTCTATTAATCTGTCATTATCATTAAACATTATCATTTCTCTATTAATTATCAATCACTTCCATTTCATATTTTTACCCTAGAAAAATTCATTGCTGAAGGAACAAATTTCAGATAGAACATATGATTTTAGAATAGAACGAATTTTTCTTTTTTTTTTCGATCGAATTCATTTCTCAATTCAAAATATATTCAATTACAAGAGCATATTATCGATGATTCTAAACGTGTAATCATTTCTCTTTTTTTCTCCTTGAAAAATCTAATCAAATGTATTCTACATTTAACTCAGTTCATTTATTGTATGAGAATCAAATGAGAAAAGAATTTCACTTTAGATAAAAAACATTTTAATAGTAATACTATAAAATGCATTAAATTTTTACCAATGATTTCAGAAATATTTTGTTTACTGTTATATAATTTATATACAAAGTGTTTGAATGTTTGAAGGTTATCGATTATCGACTAAAACAATTATCGAAATTATATGGAATGAAATTATTTGTAACTAAGTGGAAATAATTCAACTAAATATATTTTTGCAGATAAAATTATATTTCTATTTAATAATTATTAAATGTGTAAGAAAAAGATTCTTTCCTTTGAAATATATTAAATAGGAGCTATCTAATCAAGCATTAGGGCGGCTTAGGTTCTATCCTTCTCGAGAATATTACATTGCATCCTCATCTCATTCTCATTTCCTCTAATTAAGAATTGAAAGATTTTTGTGGTAAACAGATGCTTTCAACGTTCATATCTAACGTAATATAAAGAAATGACATCGAACTCGAATGTAAAATTTCCCCACGAATTTTACAATTAAACAATGTTAACTTTGAGAAAATAAATGAAAAGAAAATGAAAAGGATGGAAAATTTTTCATTGAAAAGTTAATTATAAGTTATACTATTGCTGCTAACAGCAATAGTAGCAGCAATAGTATGATAATGTGTTATCTTTGTTTGCTATATTTTGGATTCAATTAATGTAATTAAAGTCTTTATTGTATTATCAAACATTCATCTCTACTGTTCTTCCCTTAATCACTTATCAATTGGCTTAAGTGAAGATGAGAATGTCATAGTATTCTACTACGTTTTCTAGTATAAGTAAAGCATAAAATTATCTGTTATAAAAATAAGTTCAATTATTGCAATTGATAACTGATAAGATAAAGAGTAATAAGAGTGTGAAGTGAAATGAAAAGAAAGCTTTATCAGAAAAAGAGATAAGATTTATTGCAAACTTATTTCTAATTTTTCGATACTTGAATTTAAATTATCATTTCTGTTTCTGTTTGTTGCATGTTTTGAGCATTATCTTTCTTTATCATATCTAAAGGTAAAGATAAGAAATAATGTGAAAATGTGGTTAGCAAGAGAGCTAATTATTGCTAATAGAAAAAGCGTCGTGATTGAACTGGTTGCTAACAATTCAGAAGAGACAAGAATTTTCAAATTGTGATGGCAAATCTGTGAAGGTGTAACGATGACTGATGGTTTTTAGGTTGTGTGGTGACTGTGCTACGCGTGGTGTGACTTGCTTGGTCCTGGGGATTGTTGTATGGATGATTTGAAGGCCTTACTTTGGGTTGGTACGGTTGGTTGTTTGGTCGCTGAAAGAGAGAATGGTGAACCTACTCGACCTATAAATCCGTGGAATGAGGAGGCCACCTGGTATAATGGTGGATCTTCTACACAGGTATGTTCATTTCAACTGTAAGACTTCTCATGGTCATAAAGATTGTTTCTCTTTCTCTATCTCTCCCTTTCCTTTCTCAATACTTCACAATAGTTTTTAATAGCACAACATTCATAATGTCCTTAATTTAGTTGCAGTTGAATGCATTGTGATAATTAACAATTATCTTTCCCGAATAATCTTTATTTGCTAATCATGACAATTAATGAAAGGAATTCTTGCACATATCGTAGGAGAGCAACACAAGTTATTTGATTTCAACAAAAACTTGAAGTTTTAATGTTTGAGATTCAAAACATCTTGCATGAGCTTTCCACTGTTTCAGTTGCGAAAGAATGACGTATTGGTACGGCTGTCAATTGGTAATTTGGTGGGCCAAAAAGTGACAGTAAACAATGTGCCATGGATTCCTGATCATGATCCGATGGAGCAGATTCGTAAGGATTGGTCTTATTTCGAGCCAAACCCGATTCCTCCATTAAATAACGTCACTGTAGTGACATTCTTAGGTATTCCATATGCCGAGCCACCAGTTTCACAGAGAAGATTTAAGGTGCTATTAACTTTTTCATTTATTATGAAATGAAAGTCAAACTTGAATTGAGCACTGTTGAGATAAATCCAAAATATTTGCTGTTATATTATCTTTTTATTTGTCTATTATTGGATTAATCCAGTGTGCAATAACGAGTAGTTAAGGAAATTTCTGCGAAAGGATGAGGATAGATCCTCTTAATTTATTACAAATGTTAGAATAAGCCTTTACTTCAATGTCTGCAGCTTCTTTTCTGTGCCGGGCCTATTAGGTCGTTAATTTTGTCAGTACGTTACTTAATGTGAGCTTCTATGTCTAAATTAAATTAATCTTCCAGCCTCCGCAACTTCTTACCAAACTTCCTGGTAAACAACCATTTCTGGCTCTTCAACATTCTCCATCATGCGCGCAAAATGTCGAAGCTCGACCAACATTGTTTATCAATGATCCTTACCCGTTCCATATCAGCGAGGATTGCCTCTACCTGAATATATTCACTCCTAGTGTTCGTGAGTTTACTATAAATCTGTTGGTACTGAGTTGTTGAACTTATTACATTAGAGATAAAGCTTTTCTTACATTTTTTCCTCATTTAAAAATTTTTAATCCACATTTTTTTTAACGTTAACTCATTCCAGACTTCGCTTGTTAGTCGGCCTGTTATTGTTTTCTTTCATGGAGGTAATTTTCAAACTGGTTCTTCAAATGAATGGCCCGGCCATGTATTATCTTCTCGGGGTATCGTTGTTGTCACTGTAAATTATCGCCTTGGCGCTTTTGGTTTTTTAAGCTTTGGCGACGCAAACACTGGCAATTATGGTTTTCAGGTTATTTATTACGCGTCACTTGAAAAAATGTGTAGTTTTTTTCTGTTTTTTGTCTAGATTAGAGAATTGTTAAGTATTACAAGAGCTGAAAATTCGTAAAGCATACCAACGAAGGGTTTTTTATTTGTAGTACATTTAGGATCAGAGGACTGCATTGCAGTTTGTACAGGATCACATAGCATCATTTGGTGGGGACCCAAGACAGGTGACAATTGTTGGACACGATGCCGGAGCGGTCAGTGTTGGTCTACATATGCTATCACCTTTTTCGAAAAGTACTAACTTCTTGGCTCTGTTTTTGTGACTTACTATTAATGGGTATACGGTCGTATGTTCTGTTTTCTTCAGATTTATTTCGAGCAGGTGCTGCATTGTCGGGTGCTGAGATTTCATATCATTCAACTATTGGCAAGCCTACTCTTGCATTCAACAATACCATGAAACTGGGACGATACTTGGGTTGTACGCAGTCAGTAGCAGAACATGTGTGGGATTGCATATTAACGCGATCAACTAATGATATTATACAAGCTGCTCAGACAATACCGGTAGTAACCATTCAGTATCGTTAATTTTATGTATTATGGGCTCATTAATTTGTATTTTAAGATATTTTGGCAGGCAGTAGAAGGTATATTTATTTTCAGTTTGTCCTTGATAATACAAAGAATTCTCTATAGCATCCATTTTTTCATGAATATCGGAACTTGATTGGTTTTGGTAGTGACATATATTGATTCTTTTGTTTTCCATAATCTGTTCAGGCAGAATATTGTAGGAAACCTTGTATATAATAGCTCTGTAGCACTATGTTCTTCCGTAAGAGTGTTGTTTAGTTGTTCCTTAGAGGTAATTGAATGATTAACTTGTAGGTGGAATACAATCGCTATCTCTTCTTACCACATGTCGATGGTCGATTCATTCCAGCTCATCCAATGGTTCTTTTGAATTCTTTTCCGACTGCTATCACTAGCTATCCATCTGCTGTGCCTTATTTAACAGGTTTCAATAGAGAAGATGGCTCCGAGGTAGGTGATTTTGTACAACGCATAGGAAAGATTTTGTTGACGCGTAGTAGAGTGGGTAAGGGATACAGCGTTAGTTAATGTGTTGGGGTTCGGGACCAACAGAGTGAAGCACAGTGATGGTACCATCTTTCGGGTCTGATGACTGATGACAAAAAACGAGCTGAGTGCTTGCAGTTTTGTTTTTCCTGCAATATCAACAACATTTTATTTTATTAATCTGGTACAGTTTGACTTTTTTCAAAATTCTACTGTCAGTTTTTGTTATTAGAATCTGACGCTGTAGTCGTGAATAAGTGGAAACATTTTGGTCGTCAAATCTCAAAACTTCTAAAATTTATGAATTTTCGAAACTGATGAGAAGTGTTGGAAACGTTCTTATTTTTTTCGTATTATTTGTAGGTAGTACTTGAAGATCGGCTTTTGGGAGAATTTAATGATTTTATTTTGGTCGACCATGAATACCTTAAAAATTACGTACTTGAATATGCTTTCCGCCACAAT